GAGTTTGCTGTGTATTCTGCATACAGAAAACGTTTCACCTCATTTTGTCGCATCCCATCACGAAATCCAGCCCTAAACACGTTCTCTAGAAAAACGAGGATCGCAATCCAATCGGCGCCCCACTAAGGGTAATTTCGTTGATTAATAAGGTTGGTTACATGGGTAGTTGTGCCATCTCTGCAGGTGTGAAAGGCCGAGGGCTCGCTACCTTAATGCCTAACAGAGCCACAGTGAGTAATGGAGGAGAAAGTGTAAATAAGTCATTCACAAAGGTAATTTGACAAATTTGCTCACATGTCAATGAACCTTTGTGAAGATCGACAACGGTGGTATCATACGTAGGTGACACTAAAGTGAAGTATGTACATTGCCTTTGAGCAGTGGATTGACACACATTTGAAAGACGCGGCTTTAGTTGGAGAAGCAATGAATCATTCTGCGAAATACATCTACGCATGTGGGTGGTGGGTTGGCCCACGCCTCATAAGGGGAGGAGAGTTAATTAAGCTGTGCAGGGGTATTTACTTATACAGGATTTAAAAGAGGTGCTCCGTGGTGTCACTACACGTAGCTATAAGTGGCAAGTGTAGTCTATTACCACTTTCCCGTGCACACATCATGGAGTTGTCGATACACCCCAGACTGTGCCCATCGTTGAGCGGGTATAGCGGATGCTAATTGAGGGTTTTTGCAAACGTATAATTCGCATCTGACTTGCGGACATGTACCCGTGAAGACAGTATAGTGAAAGCACGGACCACTGTCTAACAGTAGGACAGGTACACGTTAATGACGAAGCTGGAGGGGAATTTCTGTCCCAGAGGAATAGGGTAAGGCGTTGGTCGCTTGGACATCCTCGCGCACTTAACATTTTACTAACAACGAAGAATATTTGCAACACGCAGGCAAAAAAAAATTTACAGCCCTTTAATCCTAATGGGATCTCCCAACACCAACGGTAGTTTCTTGGGAAAGTAATTCTCTTCCACCACCTCTACTCTTAAGTTGGTGCATATAAAAAAGAAATTGTTTTATCACTCCCGTAATGAATGAGAGTACTTAGCACATCAATCCCGAACTAGCGTAATGCCAGTGGCATGCAATCCTTTATTACCATGCACGTATCAATCACCCTTTGAGTGATTTATCACGTGAATCCAACAGAATGTTTAAAGTTTACCAAATTGACATGTTCTACTATCATGTACCGTACCTACTCCGAAGATCACAAATTTTACGGAAAGCTTCTATGGCTTCGAAATCAACCTCGAATATGCTGGGCAGATAAATTTAAATCGTACGGAGTTCAAAAGGAGAGACAAGTACAAGTGAGTATAGAAAAGAGGGTTCGACTGAGAGGCATAGCCAAAATTTGCACTGCATGGAATATAGACAACTAAGTGCTCAAGTTACCAGTTATAAGCAAATGCAATGGCCACACCGAATAATTTACTAACTGACATGGCTACCTGATAAATAAAACTCTGTACATTTTTAATTCGAAAGTATTCACAAAATTGAGTTCAACAAACAAGAAGCTCAGTTAAACTCCTCTGATTTTTCATTTGAAGCGTTTTTACTACTGATAAGCTTATAAGTAAGTATTGCATGTCTGAAGTTTTCATTAATGGCCTAGGAGAACCTCCTCGTTCCCGGTTACTCAGTTTGTCCCTTCCAATTTTACCACAAATTTAGAAAGGATTCCAAGGCATGCGACCAATAAAAAACTCCGAGAACCACCTAGCAATCCGTTTTTAACTCAAATAAAGAACACTCAAAAAGGAATACTGATTTCACCTAGGTCTTCCTCAAATCAAATGGTGAGTGCTTAAAGTAATCAAGAAGCATTGAAAGATAATAACCAACTGTAATGGATAAGCAAGTCGAGATTATAAAAACGCTTCTACAGACTCTCAGCATAAGGTCTAACAAAAGCCTCACCCGTAAAATGGCGCCTAATCCTGACTGTCCAGTCGGTAGGCGATTGGAAGCGGTGATAATCACCGGGTGCGAGGTAGATGACGCACTGGTAAAGGTGGCGGTGGCCCGTCTTGCCCTTCTTCGCTGCTGCTTGCGTACCGTCGTCTGTCAGAGGGCCCAGGAACTCATCCATATTGTAGGAGATCCCTTTCACCTGCTCCAGTATACGCGTCTCGAGGTCGACAGGACCCAGATACAGCACCGTGCCATCGCAAGGTGAGGTCTAGATGAGAAACCGAGAGGAATAGGCGCCTAATCAAATTCGGGGAGAGTGTTAGGCAAGTCTCAGTTTCCTGCAATTCGACCCCTGCGCTAGTGGCACGAAACTTAAACTATTTGCCTCACAGCTCAGCTGCAAACAGACAAAAAGCCGACTTAAAGAATAAATCTGACGATGGATGTAGAACATTGCTTGGTATTTAAGAAAACTTAATCAAACACCAATGCATAATCACTAGGATTTTACAGTTAACCTCATAGTAAATTTGTCACCATGCACATTAAAAGGTGTATCGTTTGAAGATCCCGCTAGTTGATTTTCTACTGGAGACATGGCACTCTTCAAACTCCTATGTACGTAAATAACACTATTAGTGGCTTCTAACAACTTCGCCACCTAATTCTAACGCGATCTGGCCGAAACACCAAGGCAACGTGGCTCCAATAATGCGATCCGACCTGTTTTGTTGTTATTGTACCTTTATTTACCACCCATGAAAAAACGAGCAAAAGCAGTTAGCAGGGAGATATATAAGGAATCTCAAAAAATGTGACTAGTTAAAAAAGAGTACTCATATAAAAGGGACATCTCTACAAAAGCATAATCCGATTCGACATCCTGTTAATGTAGAAGCAAGACACGGAACAACAGAAAACTCGTTTGTACAAAAATGATGCAAACGAAAGTGAGATATATTTTTGATCAAGCCTACACTTGAGTATCAGGCAACCAAAAAAGGTGTAGTTTTTAATAGGTGTTTGCAAAGTGAATTCGTCGGTTTGTAAGCAGGGAATATAAAAGATTACTACAGGTCAACCTACCAATACCGTACCTCGTTGTGTTCACTACATACCTACTACCTGCCGCCTGTTTTGAACCCTCATTTCATCAAGTGTTACCTTAACCTGGTCTATGTGACTCAAGACTTTTGGCTTCCCAACTCGAGTTTAACTAGACTCCAAGGCTCTAGAAACTATCTTCCCGTCATGTTTGTTGTGCAACTTTAAATAAACAATATGTTAAGAAGCTTATGGTCATTTAAAAGTTGTTATAGGAGCTCATTTGTCTACCTCACATTGATGTTCGGTAACGAAAAAACGCCCCACTTTAGTTAGTAATACTTACACGCATATACATCTAGTTTTTTTTTCATCATTATGGTGGAAAATCTATGGCGAGAAATCACAATTAGACGCATGTTGAATCGGAACCGACGCAAATATGAAATCTATTTCACCTAAGACAAAGGACTCACAATTAAGGCAACTCTACCCGTAGCTCAAACACTAGGCACAAATTCACTACAATGTGTAAAAAAGAGACAATCACCAATTATTTGCTGAGGTATGTTCGCTTAGTAACTGGGAAGAATTACAAAGACAAAGGACTCGGAAATCATTCCACTAAAAGCAGTTATACGCAACCTAAATAAGCCAATTACAATAATGACAACCATAGAACCAATACATATAATAAGAAGCACATACGATGACAGCTGTGCTATCAAGAGGACGAGTATTGGGTGCTAATTCCCGAGTAAAGAACTGAGACAGAGTAGCGTATTTCCTGGGATCGGACTCTTTGGCCTCGGCCATGTTGCAGTGGGTAAGCTTTACGAATGTGCCAAACACAATGCTGCGAAGAAATGAAGGGATTGTAATATCCCCCACCGCGCCTACGAAATGGGAGAAGGTATTTGTGGGAAGTCTGCGATATACGACGGCCTAGAGATAGAAAGGGAGTGAAAGCAATAAGGTTATGCAAAAGCAAGATTGATGCTGCATAATCAAAACCACACCTTAAAATTTTTAGGATAATGGGAAGGTTGTTTCTCGTAGTCAAAATACCAAATGTATAGAAGGTAGGAACCGGTGAGTGCGGTGGCACCCAGAAGAAGTTTTGGCTGAAAAATATGAGGAAGACGACCAAGAGAAGAGCTTCTGGGGGAACTGGAAGAGAAGGAAGAAGTATTCGGTATGACGAATAATCGGCAGGGGTGGTTCACGAGTTGGGAGTGCGTGAGGCGAAACATGGAGAAAAATTAGGCTAAATAAAAAAGAGGAAGAATTAGTGCATTTGATGATAAAAGAAGACAGTTCCGAACATTACGATGAAGAGGAAATAGGTGACAATAGGAACAAAGAAGTGATTAGGCGAATAACTCAAAACATGCGAATACCGAAAAACCATTTTAATTTAAATGACGAATATGTGTGGCCAAAGCCATTCATCTGCGCCAAAAATTTATATAATTTGGCCGAATTAGCACCTACTGCTGGAACGACGAAACACGGAGTAGAAAACTTGAGGTGGCATTGAACATTGAGGCCACTATGTCTATCCAGCTCAAGTACACTAAAATGCCCAATAAATACTAAGGTACTACCGGAAATAATTTAAAAGCTTAAGTACGCCAAACTGGCTGCAATACAGCTGATAACTTTAAAACTTTGCTTTTAAACGTAAAGACTTAAGTCAATAGCCTCATTAAGAGATGTAAAGTAGGCGCACACTAAAAATTCCACCATGGTATGATTATTAAGGAATAGACTTGTTTTTGGAAAAATGGGCAGTTAACTCTGTCTGCCTGATATTGATAAATAATTGGACTTGGTCCCGCGTAAAAGTGAGTATTTAAAACCCTTTACACCTGGGTCGAAATAAAGCCTAATTTTCGATTATCTTATAAACTCAGGACCTTTATATGACAGAGCAATTTCATTAAATCCATTTAGACATTTCTTAAAGATGTTTTTAACAATTAGCGTCAAATAAATTACTGTTACATCAATTTTAAAGCATTCAATTTCTATTTATGATAATCTGCACCTATGCGATTGGTTTCATAGCATTGTAGTACACACTTCCATCCCAGAATTCCAGTTTTATGGCGAAAGCTTTCTGTATTTTGTATAGTACCATGCACAAATGGGATGTTTAAATTAAAGCAACTTACAATTACACCTAAAACTTTGATTTTTATGCATCTGCAGGAATGCTGAACGCAACGTATTACTTAACCTTCTATTTGTATTTTTGGACGACTGGCTTTTACTTGCTCTACTAATTGGACTCGAGAAATATGACTTAAACCATTTAGTGAAGTTTTGCAGGCACATATTTAAAGCAATCAAATACCATTCAGAAATCAACCCGGGAAATTGGTTCCGTGTGACCCACTCGTCTTGTCAACAAACCGTGATTCTTCCTAGATCTATCATTTTCAAGACAATGTTCTGCTACATGACCTGAAACTAGACTTTTTCATTTGTTTTCTAATTTTGTAACATCACTTCCAATTAAATTTGGCATATTTTGTAACCCGTCGGTCCTATAACTTTGCCCTTGTATAGTATTTCTGTTGATGGTGGTTATTTTCTTATTATTATATTATTATCTTGTTACCTCGACCTATTTTTTGCGAACAGAAAGTTTTCTGTAGTGAAGTATGTCTCAGTGCATATCTTGCTTATCTGCTCATCACTACACTTAAGGATTTTATTACCGTGGTTAATACTAGCTTTCGAAAATTGTGTCACAGAGGTCTTATTTTGTGCTTAACTTCGAACTCCTAGTTTTGTATAATTGTTCATATCCGAATGAGTGAAACACTAATTATTTCGCCTCAAAGGTAATTTGCAAATTTACGAATGGGGAATGGATTCCGCCTAAAATGAGCTCGATCTCACCGAAACGCCTTCGCTTCTACCCTCTTTTGGAATTCAGCGGGTCCGTGTCTACGGGGGATTTGAGGGTAGTTTTTTCCTGCTCACGCATCTTTTTCATTGCTGCAAAATTGTTGCTCAATGCTTTTCATCACTGTTGTCTTTTTTGTTGTAAAACAAATTTTGCGCCTATGCCCCTTTCAGAGAGAATTCATCGGAAACTGTTTTGCGTATCCTTCTTTGTCTGGAAGCTCGGTCTCTTCAGAAACTCTGCCTGTTTCGTTGAATTCTAGTCAAGACTTTGGGAAATGTTCGGCACCAACATTCCACTCGTCGGAAAGTTGCCTGCGTACCGATTCGCCAAACATTGGTGACTGCAGCCACATTTTTCAAACGCTTGTGAGTTGCAGATTGAAGTTGGAACTTTTGCGTTTTGAAAAGCAGGATCTTGTGCTCTGATGATAGCATTATAGCATATAATTAGGACCACCTAGTCATCGCATTTAGCTTTGCTTTTGGATGCACCGCTAGGGTTCCAATTTTTGTAGTTATAGATGCTTTTGGTATCAGTGTTGACGCTTTCAAACCCAGATTTGCAAATATGTGTCACCTTTACATTCTTGTCTAAGCACAAATGTTTGCCTTTAAAACACTAAAATGGACGTCGAATCTCCTTGTTATGAGAACATTCAACTCTCAGTTTTTGTCATATTAGTACAGCAGAATACCTAGGATATGGTGGTCTTTTGTTTTCCAAGACCATGGCAGTGGGTTTATTAAAAGTGGTTTATTTATTGTAGGAAACCTCGAGCTCTCCTAATGAAGTAATTCTGCATGAGATATCCCATTGTTCATCGAGACCGCTTGAATGGGATCACAGGTGGGATTATGGAGATAAAGCGAAAGGACAATTAATCCATCCCCAAGGCAAAGACCATGATGTTCAATTTGAGACCAGTATCGATTCAATTTGGACCTGGCCCACTTGCCGACGGGCTTGTGGTAAGGGTCAGCATATACTCAGCGGTGAAAATTAAAAGTCGTTTTGCTGCTAGACGACTAAAAAGCGCTCTTGGGGTTTCCAGTACCTCTCGCCTGTAGTGATTTCAAAATTACAGGTGTAGGTAAGGTGTATCCGGTTGTTCGTAAGCGGGTATTATAAAGCATGAGTATACGCCAACTTGACAGCATCATACTTCGTTGTGTTCTCCGCCTATTTTGAACCCTTATTTCAGCAGGTGCTACCGGGACCTGATAGATGTAATTCAAGACCGTTGGCCTCGTGAACCGAGGTTCACTCGACTCCAAAGCCCACGAAACTATCCTCTTGTCACATTTAGTGGAGAACACTTGGAGAAGGTACGCTTAGTCGCGGTTAGTGGTGTGAGAATGCGTCGCTTGGAAAGGCTTTATATATACAGCCTGAAAGTGGTGCTAAAGCATTCATTGGTCAATTCGCATAGTTCGGGAGTAGGGTCTTCCTTTTTTGGTAATGACTAACTACATGGCGTACCTAAAATTAAGGACTCGGAACTGCGGTGCGATGAACAACTTTCAGTTATGGTCAACCCGGGTGATAAAACAATCATTTTACATATACATTAAATAGAGGTGCTGCCACTCCCCCCTCCCCTCTGCCTCATTCTTCGTATCCCTTGATATCACTCCAAGAAAAAGTTCTCACTTCCTTGATATTAGCGCTCGGCACTTGTTTTATCACACGAAAATTAAAAACTTCTTAAACGGGGAATAATAGAAATAGAAACAAAGGCAACCAGAGGTGGTCCTCATTTTGCATCAAGAAGCAACAAATTTAATGGAAGTAAAATTCGCCCTTAGCTTACCTTGATGAGAACTTTGTAATATCTGATGGATTTGTGATTGTTCCAATGATTAAAATATTTTAGAAAGATTTTACAGTTATTTACACTTCATTATAAAGGTTTCACGATCTTATTTAATTAACCCACGACATGAGGTTAATTTCCTGTAGAAAATGGGGGCTCAATTTTGAGCGATACCTGGGTCAGGAAAAAAACGAATCCAGCCGAATTTTACTTGAAAAACTGAAGTTTTTAAATTTGGCAGCCTTTTGGATGTTGTGAAAGATCACTGAATGAATTTCATTCCAGGATCGCAGTGAATTTCATTATACTGGTAGATTGGTTACTGACAGCGTCGAGAACGGTACACAGCAAAAGGCGCTTTCGGATGCAAAGTAAATACCAGTAGAAAACTTCGAGTTTTCTTATTTATTAAAATAATCATGCTTGAACTCCATTTTCTCTAACTTCTTTCCTGGAAAACGCAAACTAACAGCAAAAGATGTATTAGTAAAATGTTTTTATCTCTGGCTCTACTTGACTTCGTCTCATTTTGCATTTATTCCCAATTCCTTTGGCTTTACCTTGCATGTGATCGCATGACTGTCGATGGAAGTATATTCTTCCACCCTAAAGTTCAGTAGGGGATGCTGTGAAGAGCCAGGTTTGTTGCGATATGGGCTATGAGGTCCGATTTACTGGCTGTTTTTTTTTTTAAGGGGAAGATTTTCTATACACAATCCACTTGTAGCGTATCAAGTAAGGTGGATCTCTACCGCTTTTCTGGCTTGACTTTCGTGCAGCATTCATTCATAGAAAACGGTTGTGTTTGAAGCCCACTACACATGCACGCACGAACCGAGCATAACCTTCCGTCTATATAGTGGTGTTCGCCTCAAAAATGTAGAAGTGGCTAAAAAATTTTCAGCATTCAGCTCGAACACAACAGGAATTTGTTAGTCACACTTGTTAACTTTAAATGTGCTATGCAGTGATACTTTACCAAGAAAGGGAAGACCAGACCCTTGAACGATCATTGAGTGATTTATCACTACTTCCAGGTTGTTCATCTGAAGCATTTCTGAGCGAAGTACCTTCACACCATTTACTGCGACTAGGCTGGACCTTCCTTAAGTACTGCATAACTAATACAACGAGAAAGTAGTTACTGGTGCCTTGGAATTGAGTCAAATTCGGTTCCCTAAGCCAACAGTCTCGGATCACACCTCCCAGGCTCAAGTGATACTTGCTGAAATGGGGGTTCCAAATGGGTGGTAAGTGTTGGGGAGCAAAATGAAGAGTATTGGGCTGGCAAACTAACGCACATCCATCTATCCCTTCCATTGTTTCTCCATAAACAGTCGCATACATTTTAAGAGTCTCCACGAGTTGCATAATGTCGGCTTCAAGGCATAACGGAACTCGTACGACTGTCTTAGTAATCGGATTATAAGTTGTCGTAAGTACTCTCGTCTAACTTCAAAAGGTGTCTAATGAAGTCCGCAATGTAGAGATGCTTCTGAGCCGTTTTGTGAATACGTCACCTTTTGTTTGAATACCGTTTTGTCACCTGCCGGGACAGATATTTGGCCTTTCTTTCTTACATCAATTTCAACAGCTATTTGTAAGGAACGCCTCGATCGCTTTAAATCTCTTTTCATATTGGTGACTACAATACGGATTGTTGCTGCCATCGTCAATCTGATTTTACAAGCTTTTCTTCTATAAGTCTCCGGAGATTCCGTCCTCTATAACTTCAGGGATCACATCACGTTTCAGTTCCAGTCACCATCGATCATCCAGCACGAGAACGCCAACCTACACCACCGCCTTCACCCCTACCTCTGCAAACGTCATCGCAAGCACATCTAAGCCACGTAAAATGCCCCGTTCCACAGTTCCTTCACTCCACGGAATTGGCCCACAACTTCGAGAAACCCGAAGTAGTCCAATGCAATAACCACAGTCTCTCGGGCAGTCATGTCGATCTGTCTACGCGGGAGCTCTGTGAGGCAGTAACTCGGGCGGAAATGTGGACGCAGCGATCGATGAGGGGTCTACGTGAGCACACACGAAGCCTTCTGGCTGCTACGGAGGCAGAGGAGCGAAGACTGAGAGCGAGATTGGCCTCGCTTCAGAATCAGATGATGCTGGCAGTGGAAACGGAGCGGAGCAAAGAATCTTCTCAATCAACTAGCATCTGTGCAAATACTGCTGTGGAACGACAGAAGGTCGATCTCGGGAATCAAGAGCAGGTGGGTGCGGGCGTCGGGTCCTCCACAAAAAATATTTTTTGACAAAACTACTGAATATTTTAGCAGTACCACTTTTGTAGGCAGTAACAGTCACACTATTGAACATTCATCCAGTACGTTCGTCTTTACGAAAATTTGGTCTTTTAACGAATATTTTGTGGTGCATTATGTCCGTATTCAGAAGCAATCATGTCAGTCTGTGCATTACTAGCGAAGGGCGTTATTTTGCAAATTGACGCTGAAAAAAAAGGGAATTGGCCTTCCGTTGGACGCCTTGCAAATTGATTCATTATATCAAAATAACTCAGCGAAGGTTAGTGTCTTCGTCGTATAAATGAGGTTGGAATCCCAACAAGCATTTCAGAATGTCTCCAATAAAGAAGCCTACAAGGGCCCTTCGGAAGCTTCTAAACCTATTTTTTTTGCAACAGAAACGGTGACGTTGAGTTTATTTTGCCTAAGCTGTCTGGAAGGCTAGCCAATTGGGAGAGTTCTTCATCCTGGGTGAAATATGACTGCAAAAATTTTACCTAAATCGCATCAATGAGAAATTGTCATACCTTATCCGTGGATGTAAAGTGTATCGGAAGCTCAAGCTCTCTTTCGTTCGTATGAGCCCTCGGTATGAGAATCGAGTTTTCATGGACTAAAAGTCTCGAAAATGATGCTGAGTTGAGTGGCTAAAGGCTGGAACTGTTTCGTGAATTTGAAAAATCGCAGTTGAAGGAGTTCTGCATTCAGTACGTTACTGAATTGTTTTCAGTAATATTGTCTTTTGGGGAGCTCTAATGAACGGCCTTCGAAAGAGTTCGCAGAGCAGTGAGTTAACCACAAAGTAGCCAATGGAACAGTCAGCATGTTACCGATATTCTACCAGTTTAGATCTTATACTACTCTAAATTACTTCAAAAACTTACAGTAAGCAGTGTAATTTCAGCTGCACTCAAGGGTGCTCGCGTTCGATAATATTTGTCCCTCATGACTTCTTTAAAATGTCGATTCTTTCACTATCTGACAGTTTTTAAACCGTTTTATTAATATTTTACCTTCTTATTCTTCACAATGCAGAAATTCAGTTTGGAATTGTTGCCAAGCTTTTGATGTTATAGTCCCTCATATTCAACCATGCACGGCAAATGGCATTCCAGTTGGCAATAAATTGGAGTGATGATTATTCAATGTAAGGGTTACAAGGACTTCCAATACGTCCCATCAGCCTTGCTACCTCTGTGGCGCTCTAGCTACCTCCTAAATATATGCAGATCAGGAAGGGTCTTTTTTTCGTAAATGGGTAAATATTGTCTTGGTGCGTGTAGTTACGAGGAAATGTCTACTTTTGAGCTGATTTTAGTATCAAATAAAGCGCAAGCTTAAACTGCGATCAAGGGTTGGTTTGCATTGATGTCCTTAATAAACAAGGAAGTCTTATTGGTTATGAGGAGAACAATTTATCAAATACCATGAAGTTGCCTTCTCAACATCAATTATTTTCTCGGTCCTTCTTTTATGGTCCCTTTCCATCAAACTACCTTCTTCCACGGTTCGTTTGAGACACTAGAAAAGGCCTTCTTTGAAGCATCACATAAGACGATCTTGAGCTTTGTAGTAGGTTAAATGCGCCTGACTCCAGGGGTATGGCGTTCTGGTTGACCTTTAGGGCCTCCGGTTCTTCCTTGTAAATGCTATGAAATGTATGCTTTTGGCTAGAAGTTCATTGTGAACGTACATGAGGACTTGTGCACTATTCACCGAAATCTTAGAAACGGGACGCTAGAGTGGTGGCTGAAATCAACCGGGACAAATGAGTCCAAGTAATTAAGTCACAGTTAAAAACTTTGATGCAATCACTTTAGGAAAAGCGGTATTGTCAGAACCCCAGAGCAATATTGCACAGTTGGAAGTGGCATAAATGTGCTACATAACATCTTATGACTGCTTTTTATTGGTATTCATAGGTGGACGAGGTGACCACAAATGTCGACTTCAACACATCCGCAGCCGCACCACAGTTTGATCGCCATCGCCGTGAGAATGTGTATACTGCAAATGAGAAATGTTTCGCCAAGGGCGATCTTAGTTCGACTCAGCATGCAATTTCCGACTTGGGAAATGTAGGCGACATTGTCTTAAAGGGTGGGTTCAATTATTTTCCCTCGTTTCATGGCTTAAAAAACGGTAGTCGCTTGTAAGTGTTCAGTAGGCAAGAGATAAAGGCCTTTTTAATGATAATAATAAGTCGAGGATTCGTGCACACACAAAGCAGCTCAATCTTTTCCGTGGAAAGCAATGGGCTTAGCCACCTTGATAGTGCATACTTGATGAAGTATGCAGTCAGGAAGGCTAAAATGACGTAATGATGTTATTTTGTCTCTTTCTAACATATATCTCATTTTGGTCCACCTTTTTTCCCACCATATTCAATTGAAATGGTCGAAGTTTTTCACTAAGTTACAAAATGTGTTGCACTAGTTGATCATGTGTTGAAATACCTGCAGCGCTTCAAGACGCTACAATTAAACGGAGTGGCTTCTTTTCATTCCTCCTGAGGACTGGGCTTTCGTTTGGGTAACTGAGAAATTTTATTGAGACTCTGATGCCTTAATAGACCACATTCGCCACTTTAAGGTACAATTTCAAATAAGACTTAGAAATATTGGACTATAGAATGGTTAATTTCTTATTTTATAAGGCATAAAATACGGGAATGCTTTTGATATTTTAGTTCTTTAGAAGCTGCGTCGTTATTGTTTTCGAACATGCATTTCAAATGGTGATTATGAAGATGATTTAAGTTGTCTCGAAACGTGGATCCAGTGCAGTATTGGAGGTAGCTTTGAATTTCTAAAACTGGAACCTTGGGCCAGCTGTAGCGCTCCCTTTTTTTGGAAGGTATGAGAAGCTGAAACATTAACATCAACATCAGGAAAGGAGATGTCATGGCTTAAGAATACCATTTGAATTGTTTTCTTCGGCGACGTAATAAGCATTATTTTGAGAGCTATTGTGCTTTCTTGAAAGTTGGTCGTGTTCCATTAGGGATTGTTTTAACAAACTTTGGGAGTGCAGATGCTTTTTAATCATTCTGTAGTGAGTCAACGTGGATTTATCCATCCATAGCACCATCTGGACCTGTTAACCAGCCAACGAAGTTGGGATGCTGTGTTTCTTGGATTGTGTTTGCTTACCACTACTACCACTTTAAGGAACCGAGCCTTTTGGAAGGGCCGAGAGACCATAAGCAGGGTCTTCTATTCATGTCCCCAAGGCTGGAGTTCAAACCACGCATGAGTCAAAGTAAATATCAGATCATAACGCAATGAATATGGAAAATGTTATATCAGGGAATGAAATAACGTTTTAGCTTGGGATTGAGCAGTTGAGATTGAAAGCTAAAAGCAGATGGAAAAAGCGGTTTAAAAACACTTTGATGCAAGTAACTCACACCTAGAACGCCGCTAAAGCCACTAGAATCCGACCTAAAGACTGTCTTACGTCGTCTAGACATGAGACCACTTCTTGCGAGCTCTGAAGCGCACTTGTTTTAACTCGAAGGTCATAAAAACGCCTTTCGTCTACCACAAGGCTTCTTTTTTACAATCTAATGCAAACACATTATCATCAAGACGATAGAATCGTGTTGAGTAGCAACAAAACTGGCCCTCTGATGCATACATGTATGGTAAAACCAGTCTCCGGCTCAAAATTGGGCACTGATTTAGCGACCCAGGCCCAGTTTGGTCCCCTGTCGGTTGACCTTAGCGAGCATTGTTTGTAGGTGAAACATCCATGGCTTTCAACCAGACCCGAATGAAATTGTGTATCCGTAAGGACTACATCTTTTTCAAACACTGCAATCACGCTTCGTGAAACGCACTTGACTCTGGCAACAATTTCGCTTTTATGACGTAAATTGCCTCAAAATCGCTGGGAATAAAATTAACAATCAAATGGTGGTATCACGTCAGTTAGATGTGGACAACTGAGTGTGCAAGTCACTAGCTATTTTGCCATACAAATGAGGCATTTTATGCAATTCACACCACAAAGAACTTGGCTGCCGCATCAGATACTCTATTTAACCGTTTTAGTACCCAAGTTGTGAGCCCTTGTTTTTCCATAGGGGTGCTTTGTTCAACAGTATAACGTGGCTCAAGTACTCGTGAATTAAAATAATCGACAATCACGTCGTTATCTCTCTAGTCATTTACAAAGTCATCCCCTTTTTTACATGAGAAAGGACAGATTTGATACTCTGTTGAAAGGAATAGAAACTACTGGTAGTATCATTGGTCAAAAACTCGATTTTACCGCTGTTACCCTTCTCATTTGGCTAAATGGAGGATGGTGGAGACGACGTATGGCGATCTAAATTGGGCGAAAAAGGGAAGACAACAATGCTAGCTATTGTTTTACGAATTGAATGACAATTCATATTCCTTTTCGCGTTTTTTTAAATTTTAACGGAAAAAGCCAGCAAATAAAGGCAATCGCCCGTCTTGGGTTAGATCTGTATTAATCAAATACGCTTATTTAAAAAAGTAGTATGTTCTGTTTTATTGCGACCAATCTGATTGGTGAATGGATATAGCAAAGGAATTACTAATAACACTTTAAATTTTGCAAGAATGAATAAACTAGACAAGGCTGAAATTTTAGTTGCCAAATCCGACTGACTTTCGGGAGAGATGTTTTTTTACTAGAAACTTAAAATCAAGTAAATGTACTGAATATAGTCGATTCAGTTAAAGCGAGACTTACCAATGGAAATTTTGGATAAATTTGGAATTTTAGTTCTGAGCCTTTGTACAGGCTTCCAATATAGCTAGCTGTAATGAAATGTGGTAACTTTTAAAACTGGTGAACTACACATGATCGTTTGTTTGCATGAAAAATGAAGTTAGCATATATAAATATATGGTTGTCTACCAGCACAGCAGTCTTTCTTGTGCTCTTTAATGTCTTCCTCTTATTTTGAACTCTTATAGTATATCGGTAGAAACTGGTGACCTTGATTTAGGTTTGTTAGCGTTACTAATCGGAGAGTTACTGCCTCGTTTTCCTCTTCATCCTCCGCATTCCCTTAACACTTCCCTGGATAATAATGAACATTTTTATTGCCACTAGTATGCAGTAATCACATGACAGGTGGAAAATAAAACTTGTATAGAAACCAAAGTGGCTGATAAAACGTTTTTTCTGGGCTTTCGAGGGCAGAGCGTATTCTGTAGGCTGAACTCACAGCTTGTCTGTATCCTGCTAGGACGTTTAGACAGAGGTGGGACTTTTAATTTTATGCTTTCCGACAACCCTCTCACCGTCTACCCGTTGTTAGCCAAGGTAGCAAGCAGTAGTGGTAGTGCGTGCAAATATAGGGATGGTGATTTTCCTCTAAATGAAGGCCTAAAGTCCAGCCTCCTGTCCACAGAGGACTAAAAGCACTCTTGCTTTTCAGCAAGATGGACGACGATCCAGGTCGCGTTGATTTTGTCACCTGTTTACATCATAGTGCGAATATTCAGTCAGTCCTAAGAACGCCTAGCTGATTTTGATACGAAGCTTCCTGTGGAAATGCTAAATGATAATGTCTAACAACGTTCCCGTTTCCTGAAAGTTGCCTTATGTCGGTTATCAAAACCGACGATAAAACCCGGACAGGCTGCCCTTGGGTGGTTCGATTATTCTGACAAATCTTTTTGTTTCGAAATGGTTTCCTAGTTATTAGGCATAAAGTATTGGAAGGATATGTCGAGTGGTGAATACTGCTTGAACTTCTCGAAATTTGCTGTTTCCTTTATTCCCATTTTGACTTGAATGCACTCAATATTTCTTTTAAGCTTATGAAGATAAGCAATTCAGATAAGGTGGAGCATTTTAGTCTGGGATAATAATATTTTTGATAGAATTATCGCTATATCCATGTTTCTTTTCGCGTAAACATTCCTTTTACTCAGCTCAGAGAAGAGTTAACCTCCACAGTCCAGGTACTCTATTGTTCCGCTTCTTCATTCCCAGACCATGGACATCCTACACCTATTTTGTTGTTTTGAATTCAACAAGTCCATTTGCGAAACACAAATTTCTTGGCTGTTTGCATACAAAGTAGCGCAAACGCTAGTGTCTGTACTAGCGATGGCTTTTTTACGCACAAATCTCACCCTTTACCGCGGAAATGGACAGGAGGAAAATCGTCACCAACTTTTTTTCTAATAATGCACAAAGGTGTTAAAAACTTCCCCTCTGGGATGGAGGGGCTGGATGGATAAAAGATACCTTGCTATTAATAGGACTACTTTAAGTCTAATATTTGACGTGCCAATTAAAATGCCATTTTATCCTTTGAAGGCCAAGTTTATTATGTTTTCTCAGGAGTCCATCGTAACTCTTTAAACTCGAGGCAAGAAAAGTAAGGGCAAGTTCTTGAAGGTAGCGTAAAGGGTAATCTGAATGCTAGTATTTTTGCTGGTGATAAGTTTTATGGTCGCAGACGCTTCCTTTCCCAATTTTCCCCAAGGAGAGAAGCACTGGTTTAACTGCTAATGGTTTAAACCTAACTGCAAATTTTATGCATGCAAACTGACGTGATAGCATCATTTTCCCGTAGCACGGAGTGAGGCTTCAGACGCGTTAGTCGAAAAATGTTAGGTTTTTGTTAATCGGTCTCGGTGTGAATCACTGGAGACTTTGTACCATGGAAATGACCATATGTTTCTTTGTTTTTGGGCAGAAATAGATCAGGTAGTGGTGTTTTGCAGATGCAATAAATTCCCCACCATCTTTTATAGCTCTTTGGCATTGTTACTGCCTTCGGTTCTAGCTGTCAGTCATGTAGCAATTTTGCGTGCAAAGCCAAATCTCCTCCAATCTCCAGAAAAAGGACTCGTTTTTTGCTTATCTCTTTTTCTAACGGTAAGAGATTTATGAGAGTTTAGGTTTTTTATATATACTTGTGCGGCACTGTAGACGGAAATGGCTTATAAAAATTAATGTTCTTGATAACGTGCAGAAATTCCATTTAGCAACCAGTTTAATTTTATCGGGCACGTAAGTCTGTAAGTGGCTCTGTGTGGCACTCTTAGTCATTCTGGAAGACTTAATAGAGCCTGTATTGCACACTATCTTTTTTTTGTGGTCTTCCGGTGCCTCATTTCCTGTGTCAACCGTCTTAATGAAGAGACTTACAAATTCTTATCCACCTTGATAAGCTTCATAAGATAACCAAACAAATTTCCACGTTTTTTGTAATAAATATTCTTAAAATGCAAAATTTATTTGCTAAAATAGTCAGCGTTACAATCCATCCTTCCTTCTCACATGTTTGGTGTAAACAAAGTCTAGTCATGGCTATCTTCGTTTCTAACTCGCTTGTGCTCTCCACCCACTTCTTCTACTTTGCATGTGTTTATGTAATGTCAAAAGGGTGATAATCATTCATATGAAGAAGTACAAGGGGAATACGGATGAAAGGGGTGAGGGTGAGGCAGTATCTCCCCCCCATCTCAAGAGGAAGAGCTTCTCGTTGATAAGTGGAGACATTATGAGGTCCTGTTTTGTGTTGCGAGAATAAGATTTGCTTTTACCCGATTAACTTGTTGTGACCATTTCTAAGGAAGAAAAAAAGCTTTTAAAACATTTCGAGTTGTAGCATACACTTCTCCGGTGTTCAGCAAATCTACTCCTTCGGGGATGAAGTGGTGTGTGGTGGTGGATCGTATGGAAGTGGCCAACGTTACAATCACAAAGATCGCTTTTCATTAATTCAGTCAGCAAATGGTTATCTTAGAAAGGCTTGTTTTTATCAAGTAAAAAAGACCAACAAATTGGTTTTATCATATGCTAGTGTCTGTGTCACCTCAGATGATGTTACTGAAAGTCGTTTTTGACTAATAGTAACATTATCAAATATAGAGTGTCTTCCTCATTGTTGCACCTATTCAAGTAATTCATCACCGGACCTACATTTCAAAACAATTTTTGGAAATTTATAGAAATGAATTTGTTGAGAAGCTAGCTTCTGGAGCACCGGCCTATCAAGCAGGTAAACTTGAATCACTTCTATCAGATTCTGGGGAGTGTGTGGGAGGCTTAAGCTGACAGTGACATGGAGGAGACCACAATTAAAGGCTGCATTTAGAATACGTAGCTGGAGCAGTAGGAATGCTTCTCCAACGGTGAAAATTCTTCTCAGCTTCGTTCATTTTCATTAACGATTTGATGTTCCCCAGAAATATGTCTCTGTGGAGCATTTGTTCCCTTTATAGACTAGAAACGTCTATAATAAGTTTGCTTATATAGAGGAGGTGTTTCGATCGACTAGGACGACTTTTGACTGGATTTTATTTTTCCTTCAAAAGAGCCAATGGCCGTTGGTGAAGGCGACGCCAGTGCGGACCACCTGTCTACTCCAAATTGTTGCAGTACACCACTACGAGATGAAGAGCTGCCTGATAACACCAACCACTCTGATTTTCAGCATCTTTATCGTCGTCCTGATCTTCTAGAGCAAGAACAAGAGGGACACCAATCACAGTCGGATGATGTTGTGACTCTCATTGCAGAAGAGGTAGATTTTTACGTGCTCGCAAAATATTTTCCAACTTTAGGGAGAGAGATAAAATAAAAATTCGTTTTGGGTATTTAGGAGCAAAGAAAAGCTTTTTGTTGCTACTTTAGGACTGTCTATTCATCAACGGGATAGCTTATTCGGGTATAAATTTTCTTCGTATAAAGCAGACGCCACCTTCCTGATCTGTTTTAGTTTGTCTCACAGTGGCTTACTGTTGAACCATAATCTTTTCAAAATAAAAGATTATTTGATTATTTTGCACTTTTCTTGACATTTTTCATCTATGGAAATGCTTTTTATGTCCTTATTCTAACCGCGTTTTTATTCCCACCTGGGACGTTCAAGCAAAACTGGGACTTTTTATTTTGCAGTTTATAAACGAACTAATTTTGGGACGTGAAAATGGATTACTTTTTTATCACGGCCCCCTGGATGACTTCACATTTATCAGTGTTTTACTGATATCTAGAAAGCAGCTTTGGAGTTGAAAGATTGGACAATGTTCCCAAACCGTCCTGGGCCATCCAATGCGAACTAATTTTATACATTTGCAAATGCTCATGAATGGATGTACTTAGTGTTTCCAGTCGAATGATTTGGCTCCTGTGCAATCTCCTTACACAACACGTTTATCAGGCGTCCCACACACTAGTTGAAGGATCACAGAGCTGAATGACTGCGGAGAAACGGTCGTCGGGATCGTCACTGTTAGACATATGGGGAAGGTTATTTTCGAAGCGTTGGTACTATAGTGCCCAAGGCTTCTATAAAGTCATAATAAGCAAAAGTAGTGTAGTAGGACATTATGAAAACACAGAAGAACCAGAAGCCTATTTACCTGCCTCAAAGGCCATGCTGCAGGGTGGAAGCACAACTTGAAACACTGAATGGTATGCATAAATGTTCACGAATTTAGCATGGATTCCGTGTTGAGAAGAAACTTCCTTCACTACTGTAAGCCGTACCAAGCTGGCATGGGGTACTATTGCCCACGACATGTACACCCCTTGTTAACGTCTCTACGATACCGTCCCTTTAAAATAAGTAAAATTAGAAGTTTCGGTTTTATTGGAACCCCTCTTGTAATTATTTTATCTATATTACTTCAAAACAAATTTATTAAAAATTTTGTAGACAGCCATAAAATGACATTTTAGGTTGTCTAATTAACTAAGTTGTCCTAAAGAATAATGATTTACGGTTTTTAGAATCCGTGGGAATTACATTAAATCATTACAACTCCACCTCTAACAGACTAATGAAATCCGGTGTATCTTTATGTAATGAATTTGAAGTAGTTGGCACAACTAACTTCAGTTTCCTCCCCCTATTTAAATCCAAAGTTAAAACAATGAGTTTTCAAATTACTACTTGTACTATCATCCTGGTTAACTTTGCCCCTTCCTCTCGCCTCTTTTCCCCTTGTTTGTTACCAGTCGAATCGCACTCTGTAATTGAGATCCTAAGCAATGAGGGAGGAGAATGGTGGGTACTAGTGAATACACTTTTTTTCTCCTCTCTCCATTTTATTTCCTGCCCTCCTTGGGATAAAGTAGTGGCACTCATTATTGCACGCAAAGCAGGGGAAAAGGGAATTGCTTCTCCTTTTTTGCTCAGGCCTGCTTTGGGTATGCTTCTTCTATACTCCTTGAGGAATCATCCATCCTTTATTGCTTCTATACCCTCTAATCTATTTACTCTGTCCTTAGGAGGAAAAATTAGAGCCTAATTTTCTTTTTTGGCAGAGTGCCTTAGTGTTGGGGGATTGGTAATTTGTTTGCCACCCGTTGAGTATGGAAATACCGCCTCTATTTAGTACTTGTTTACGATTGTGCATGAGGAGTATTTCGTTGTTTTTTTCGAAAAAATACCAATATTTTTACATTAAATAGTTATAATTTTTCTCACTGTTCCTGAGTTTTTAAAGCAAAAGGTGCGGAATGTGGTTTTTAGAACGCATTTTTCTTGGCACATTTCTCATACCCCCACGTGATGGTTTCTAATGCACTTCTGAAAGTGTAAAGGCTTGTTCGATTGAGGCATTGGCATTAACTACAAAATTTGATAAAATATTAGTCTTGAAAAAAAAGATCAAACACTTTTGCCACCAGGATCACACTTACGCCATGCTCTGCTTTTTTGGGTCTCAGTCTGACTTCTCGATCAACTTACGGCATCCAATGTCTTCACCAATAAAGTAGATTTAGGATGCCTCTGGTGTGAAGATATTTTTTGGTAGATTTCAGAAAGCATTTAAATTGATCAAAAGAATAATGATAGTTGGTCCTAGGACAGCATCGAAAGTGTTAACTGGCCTCATATTGTCCCATTGTTGTGACCAGGCAATCTAGGTAAAACAAATTAACTTTGAGTAAAGGAACTTACATTCATCTGGCCATTCCTTTTGCCTTCCCCATTAGTGACTTCATTTTCGTTGCTTCCTTTCTTTTCCTCACTTTCAGTGGTGTCTTAATTAATTTGGTAAAGAATCAATCAATCTTTCCTTCTCTATTCTCTGCCTTGATGAAAACGATTACTGTCTAAGTAGTGGTGGGATGTGAGGTCGATGTTTTAAACGTTTAACAAATTTTTTTTAATGAACATTTTTAGACTGGTGATCACAGGGTGGATGGTGGACACTCCTCTATTGAATTTCAAGCTCATAATAGCATTTCGTACAATCAATCGGAAGTCTGCAGTACCACATATCATTTAGAAGGAGCTCGTGAGCAGTTGACCACATCAGAGATTGATAATTTTTGTCAAGATGAGGGTAAAGAGGGTGTCTCTATCCTTCCAGCACATTCCAAAGAAGTTGGTTGTGAGGATCGATTACCCAATGAGAAATTGAAGGAGCAAGATATTTGCCCAGGAGATAAATTCGATCAAATCATTGAGGATCAAGATATTCCACTCGAATCTGTTCCAGTGGTAGACGAAGCCTCCTCAAAGATTCAAGATTGTCCTTCAAAGAATAGTCTCGTCAGTGAAAGTTCCCTTACAGAGGTGTCTTTCTCTGTGGAGTCGATGGTGACTGAATCCAGACCTTTCTCTGTTGAAATTGGCGAAGCTATGAAACAGAGGTTCATCGATCTACTCAAAGAGGAATCCAAAAAGTTGAAGGTAGCAAAAGAGGCCTATTTGTCGAAAAAGCAGACAATTCGTGAGCTGAAAGCGCTGCTTGAGCAGGGTTTGAGTCTCTCTAAATCGGTAAGTTGACTTGAGAGTGTTAATAAACTTGTTGATGTTCACCAACTGCGTCACATATATGTGACATGTGTTCTTTATCAATTTAGGAACTAGTTATATTAAGTTCTGTGGTAAATAGAATTATTAAAATTACAACAGCAAAATAGATGCCCTTTGTAGGTTGCACCGAGCGATTTCCCCCGAAGATTCTGATCCTATTTAATTTGTACTGCAACGTACACATAATGATGTTAATTATTCCGTTCTTGTTGTCTACTTCGGCAGCACTATCTAGGACCCTTACTCAGTTTAATCAAGACCCCACAAAATTGAATGGTTAATTAATTCTTTAGTTGTAGTCTTAGCGTGCCAACACAAACGGTATTGCGTAGTTAAAAAAAATTCCACATTCCTCACTAAAGTGAATGTAGCACCCATTCTTCTCATCAAAATTGCATGATGAATCTGTTCACCCACGCTGTTATTCTCTCATTCATTCATTCCATGGTTGAGAGGTCGAGTGTATTTGCCGTGCAATCGAAGAAAATAAATCCAGGCGTTCAAATGAGGACTTTTAGATTAGCAATCACGAAATTGAGGAGAATGGCAACGGACAATTTGACGGGCCTGCCATTATTTTTTGTCAATGTGCCTGAAACACCACAATGTTGCTGGCCCTGAACCAATAGGCGAATTATATAAATTGTCTTCAATATTTTCAATTTATCAGTGACAGAGGATTCTCTTTATAAATAGTCACTACTACTGATATAACCAGATTTGCATTTTTTTTAAAATGCACGAGTATGTGAAAATACGTGGGAATCACCTCTTGTCAGTGCTAGAAGACTTCGGATTTCAGCACTATTGACGTGCTTTGGGTATTTTGAAGTGGTTGATTATACCTTATTCTTAATCACATCAATGTGATTCGATGCAAGGGAACATTGCTTTACACTGGATGATATTTTGTACCAAGAGAATTTTGTAACAAAAAAGAGCATTTGTCTGGAAGCAAAAGATGATATAAGACTGCTTCCAAGCTTTTTGTGCCAACTGCATTCCTCTTTTTCGTTTCACTGCTAGCTTAATGCTAGCCAGTCGACTGTCTGGGTTGCTATTTGCCTCCCGTAGCTTAATGAAGTATCATTTCTTCACATTTTCACTAAATATTCATTGAGAATCAATTGGTTTCTCCTAAACTAGATACCCTTTCATTATTGGTCTGAAAAGGTTTGCAGGTAACAGAACTTTTGATGTGGATAGATGGGTCCTTCCGTTTTACGTCTGCTGCCCATAGCTAGTAACGCCTTTCTGGCATAGCATTCAACCGATTTATTCAGAATTTGGTGGTGATTGAAAGCATCACGCTAAGGGTTTATTCAGCAGTCATTTGGCACCGAATCGTCCATTTGTATAACACTGGGTATCCCCATCTCTAAAATGAATCTAATTTGCTTCTCAATGGTTGGCTAAGACCCATGTCCCATAACTACGTCTATATTTGCTCATCAAATAAGTTATTCAAGAATTAGGACCTTGAAAAGAGGACGTAATCTTTTTTACTTACTGATTAGAGCCGAATCATAACCAGAACAAGAAGCAGCGAAATAGGTGAATCTACTTGATTCGAATTTGTATTCGATTGATCGTCTTCATTCGTCTCTCCTTTTGTTCATCTTTCCTCTCTCTCGCCTCTATTTTTGCCTCAATTTCATCCATCTCCTCCTCGTCTTCGCGTCTTGCAAATTCTTTTTCCAAATCCTCAAGTCGTGCGTAATCCCTTCTTCTGTGCGTCGATTCACAAGTACAGCGGCTCCCACCATATTGATTCCGGAATTTGTTCATGCGACGAGAATTGCATTTGCATTTTCCACCATTCTCAACCACCGTGGATTGTGGGAGTGTCTCAATTGTCACCTTGGCTATTGTGCCGGAACGATATACCACCATTTGGTGCTTGTCCACTTGGCCTAAAGCCTGATGTAGTAAGAAGAGGCTGAGAGCCAGCCAAACCGAAGCAGGGTGCATTTCTATCCTTTAATTGACGACATTGTTGACTAATAATTGTTTTATAAAGCAGAGGCCAAGTGCGCAGATTAACGATTGTGGCAAGTTCAGTTGAGGTCGCTTTGCGGTGCTGCTGTCAGTCAATATTGTGAACTTTGAAGATGTGTCAATGCCTCTTGCATAGCCAAAAATCTGTAGAGGTGAACATAGCAGAATACTTTGGGCTGCTTTCAGTGATGCGCATGAAATATTGAAAGTCTGAAAGACAAATCTGGCTGATAATGCACTTTCACAACAATAAAAACTTGAAAAATTGACTCTCGAACTTGACATTTAAGGGAATCTGATCCTAGTGATTAATGGTTGCATTTTATTTGCAGATTTATATGCATTCCAGTAAATTCGTGTCATGTGAGGAGGTAGTTTAATGCAATTTTGAAGGTAGTTCCGAATAATTTTTAGGAAATACAAATTGAGGTTTTTGGGCAAACAAACCTACCTTCTCGTGTTGAAATGAGATGAGAATGATTTAGCGTTACAAAACACTACACACTCGTAGTGATCAGTTCGTTGTGCTTAGAGAAAATTTAAAAGTCTTTTTATAGCTTTGTTCTTCTTTCCTACGCTTGGGAGGAAAAGTTTCGTAATGATTCTTTTTTTCGCAAAAGCACCATTCCCTTGGGCCTATTGAGGTGAATGGGGCCGTAGTAAAGTGTTATGTGTTGATGATTTAAAGAAGCTTGAGACGGAATCAAGGTTCTTAATCGTGGTTAATCCGCAGTTCTTTGGGCATACGCTGACCAAAAAAATTTCCTAATTTTTGGCATAGCAAGGCGTTATGGCTCATCGTAACTGGTAAAAACATAGCATGATAGAGATGAACTCCTTATAAAGCGGGGTTCTTTTTTGATTGAGCCCATTGGACATAGTTTGAACTTTCCTGCTTGACAAACCTAATTCCACTCAGTTCTAAAGTCGTAGAAGTGACCGCTTCGCCAACTTTGGTGTAGAAGATATTGTTTGCTGCCCAACCATTGTTGAAAAAAATTCCGATGATGAGTCACTTCAAGATAGGTACATGACGTGGAGGAGGATTCTCCATTCTCGATAATGACGAAATATGCGTCAATATTGCTAAAAGTAATTTGAGTTTAACGCATCAAGGAGGGTTTTCAGCGGTTTTTGAACCGAGTGATGGGAGTTTCCGCCTATGCCTTCCATCAATCTGATCTTTACTTGGACTGAGAAATCCATGAAAGTTAAGCAGAAACGAAGAGGATTATGCACTACGAGGTCATTGCTGAAAACCAAACAATTTTTCACCTCAATACGATACAAGTGGGCGGTGCACCAGGACTAGCCAATCGGTTAAACGGAATTTATATTTTCCCCTTATAAGCCAGCAAAAGGCCTAATGCTGTTTCAAAACTGATCCTTGGGAAAATTTTAATCTTAGATCGCAAGAAAGGCCTGTGCTACATTATCCTTATCCTTAGTATTCCTCTTATATTTCTTAAAATTAAGCAGCCACCTGCGAAATAGAATGGACTGTTGGGAGCCAAAAGTGAGGTGCTTTTGTCTCCAGACACAGATTTGATTTTTAACAATGGAACTTGCAAGTTTGGGTCTCGATGAGAAAGACTGGCAGCAGTTTTATCATTTTTCTAATGAGACTTGTTGATAGAATACAATGGGATTATATTTTTTTAACCCCTTACGATAGTTTTTTATAAGCCTAGCTTACAACATTGCTCCAATGTACTAACCTTCATTGGAATCGAACTTATGCTTTAATCAGTCAACTCACTTCATAAGGCCATAAGTCTGAGGTTTTTTTTACAAAAAATTTGCATTTAACATTTAATGCTTGTCTTGAATTCTTTTTTGTCACATAAAAATATCATTTTACCAGTAAAGGGCCCTGCATATCTGTTAATTTGACGCCGTCGTTATCATAATTTTCGACTTTAACTATCGGTAGATTAAATCCCGCCAGTTTTGAGGCAAACTCAAATTGGGTAATTTGATTCAGATTCAATGATTATTTTTGGTTAGTGAATAGTCTCAGTGAAAATATGAGCCTCCTTGGTTGTTGTTCATTTCTGGCAGTGCAACGGATTATCGTTTTTGAACGACTTTAAAAGGGCTACAAATGAACAAAAAGATGTTTGCTGTTGTTAATTTTAAATATTAAATCCTTTTTGGAGCCGGTAAAGCTTTGTTAGTAGTTCTACGCCTCAGTAGACCATCTAGGCAACATACGGCTAATTACAATTATAACATTATTACCACCAAAGAGTATCCTTAGAAAATAAAGCACCATTACCACTGGAATGCGTCATGACAGCAATTCAGCTGATTTTTAAGAACTAAAAATATTTAATTATTCTCAAACCGAGGAAATTCAACATTTACTTTACCGATTTAAACTCAACCAGCCTGCTCGCTACATGACCTAAAATTTGTGGCACTGGGGTAAGTTAAACAGAGGATCACATGTGGGCAATCTTGAATAAGACAGTCACGTGAGCAATCTAAACCGTGACTGGAGGAGAGGTGAAATTGAACGTACTACTGCCGCTCTGCCGAAAGTGCGTCCATTCATCCGATTTAAAAGTTACCATGTTGAGACATCCCTAAAGCAATAAATGTAAATTAATCTTACAGAGCAGGGAATTCCGTTTTAATCAAATCGCCTCAGTCATGTGCAAAAATCCATGGTTATGTATGCTGCCGCTAAGTGGTTAAATCACGTATTCCTTATCGCCCTTTCAACAGACGCTTCTTTTGAACGTGGAGAGAAATCCTTCTCCAGCAAACAATTGCACCGATGTTACATCATCCAAATCTGAGACCTTGGACGACGCACAGTGTCGCTCAATTGTCAACTCTCCTCCACCTTCTCCTAAATCATCGTCAAATCTACGTGGCCCATCTAAATCAAAGACGTCGCCTTGCTGTAAAATTGCTCCCACATCTCGCAAGTCCAATATAGACGTTCTGCAGATGAGACCAGCTAAACCAACAAAAAAACTCAGCCAGACAGATGTGGAGAAGATGTACGTCGAGTTCATCAGAGCTTCTGAGCGGTCTCGACCTCGCCACAAGGCCTTCACCGGTAAACCAAACGTTTGATCAGTTGTTACCTTAACCTAAAAAGCCAACTTATTTCGCTTAATTGAAGCAAAGGGTAGAGGCTTGCTTTTTCGTGTGTTGCTACTCTATTTGAAAGGAGTTAAGGTGACGTAGTTTGGCCCTTTTGAAGGGAAAAGAAGATACAAAACCGCGTTGTTCCGTCAGCTTTTACAAAAAAACAGCCTACAGTTTGTTTTCTCCTTTTTTCCATCTGCGATTCGCGGCGGTATTTCTTTGAAACGCAAATTAAATTACAAAATCTGGCAGATTTTTGAGGCGAGAGACTTAGCTTATTCTTGCCTGATTTGGCGCGAGTAAACAGAATTTACGAAAGCCTCGAATTCGGACTCTACTCTTTTACAAACCCAATTTGTGCTTTTTTGTAAAAGATTCTGTTGCACGGTAAGCGGAGGCTGTTAGTCGTAGCTACTAGGCGTGAAATTTGGTTCCATTCCGTCTCCGAGGCGAAAGAAATGGGAGACTCAGTTTGAGTACGAAGCTGGACAAGCACATACCATTTAACTTGAGTTATTTTAATTTGATTTTTTCCCCAAACGTCATCGCCAAACAAATATGCTTGCTTTGTGTTTGTGTGCGTGTAGTGGATTGCAGAAGCACTTGTTCATTATGGATGAAACATCTTGTTGAGGCCAGTCTGCTTAAAAAAAATCAACCTGTCGGTTTGTAAGAGGAAAGCTTCTTTTTAAGAAACAGACAATACAGTGAATCTGCCAATCACATGGAAGCCCGTTTCTTACAAGACAAAATAACACAAGATCTCATACCTCATACCCCTACGAAAATGACTTGCAAAATTGGTGATTCAGGATAGGATGGAGAGAAGGAAACGGCATCCTTCATCCTCCGTATTTGTCTGATATTTTTTGCAAGTTACTAGCACCATTGCCTTGGCATCACCCAGTCCTATGTGGAACAGGAGGAGTAATGTTGATGAATGCAGAAGTACAACAACCGAAAACGATGAGGGTGGTACAGAAGCTCTGCAGTAGGGTGAAATTTGCATAATTTATACAGAATACTTGGTTTGATTCTGATTAATTTACTTCCTACATCGAGAACTTTTCAAACAAAAAATACTCAATTTACTCTCTAATGTAAAGCTTCATTTAAAATTACAAACACGGATCACTTAGACCACATTTCTTAATTTTTCCAGTAAATGAGTATTGTTATACCTGCTGGACAATTTTGACTAAACATTAAGTAGGTGGTCTTCAGGAGTTGATGTGGTCTTAGCAGGCCCCTCGTGGTTGATCACTCTAACATATCCGGCCATATCTCACCCCAGTAGTCCTAATACTCTCCCTAACAGGCTCACGGCAGCTCTACGGCAAGTATATTCTTAACTGGTCTACAACTCGCAGATACAGTGAGCCCTTCTGTCGTAGGAGAGTAGGGAATCGAAAAGTGAATGTTTGAAAAAAGGAGGAAATGAAAAAAGGAAGAAGAGAGAAAGAATACCGATGTATCCAAGTGGCAATTAGTCTCCGGTTTTCTGAGACTTATCATGCGCTCTTATCAAAGACTCCTGTTTTATAAATACTGGTCGCTACTTACAGCGCTAAGCATTCAGTCGTGATTTTACCATAAAAATAGTGCTCAAATTTTGATTCCTCTATTTCATTTAATACAATCTAAAATTAAACGAGGTTATTCCACCCTTTATTCTTAAGAAACTGAAGAAATACTTGCAGTTTCACTCAGTAAGGGAAAAGGAATGAAGCAAAATGGCCGATGATTCCAATCGTCAATCATTAATATCTCCCTCCCGCCGTCTTTCTAAATTTTTTTTCAGCAGTAAACAAATAATCACCAAACCCATGGAAAAAAGATAAGGAAATGTACCACGTTTATTTGTCCAACAAGAAATACGCTTCCTGTTTCAGTTCACGTGGAGTTGACAGTTCCTGTTGCCAGGGCGGGAAGGAAGGAAGAGGAGGATGGGGAGAGGGAGGCTAGTGAACGAATAAAGGTGGTTGGCTGGGTGATGGGCAGTATTTTGGCTCTGATTTATGAGTAAGGCGCCGTCTACTGCACCGACTGGCCGACATATTAGCAGTTTTATAGCTCTTGAGGCCGCAAAAGTCGTGCGTGTGTTTGCTCATTTTTCTTCACCGGACGGTAGCCAGTCAGCGATGGTGGTGGTAGTGGCGGCAGTAGCAGCACTTTGCAGAAGTGTTTGACATTTCGGTCAAATGTAGCCCTCTCTAGTCCCTTTCTCACTCTCCATTTCTGACCACAATAATAAAGGTGCATTTATTTGCATTTAGAAACCTGGGTTTATTCAGAAAAAATGGCGTATTTGATGATGTCATACACTTGGATTTGCCTGAATTTCCGTTAATTCGAAAATTTTGTGGCCTAAGCAGAATGAGGCTCTTGAGCAACCTCCGATGTTTAATTCTTTGAGAAGAAATCACGATTGACAGAACCTGCTCAAAAGGATTTGTTATTGAAACCACGAAGATCCGAGAATTTAAATATCACAGTTATTAACCTACCTCCAAAGGTTATTTTACGAATCTTATTTTCACGAAAGATGTCCAAGCCACACCAGAGCTATTAATTTTATAGACGTAGAAGGAGATGTTACCATCGTCGTAATGCACAGAGTGGTAAGTGGTAAATGCGTGCCATCCACTAGTCTGGATGGCAGGCAATAGTGTAATAACGTGTAATGATGAACGAAACCGTAAAACCCCAACCTACGGATATCTACTCAAGCAAAAGGCTTCAAATACTCTTCGCATGCTCAATTGGCTTGTTAGCCTAGATCTTGGCGAACTTGAGCGTGGTGGCTCTGTCCTCAGCCAACACACAGTAATCATTTAGGACTGAGAGCATTATGGCAGTGCGTAGAGTGCCTGGTGATGAATGTCTAATAGATTCTTAACCTTTTGTGTTACGAAACAGGATAAGAGACTAGTCTTTTTCTGTAAGAATGAAAATGAAGTTAAACGGGCTGCTCTGGGAGGGTTCAGCTATACTGGCAAGTTATTCTGTGATGAGACTTTGCGGATGTTGCTTAGATGTAATTAATTCTTCCGCAAGTAATATATTTCCCCTTGGAAGTGGATGTTCCTTACAGAATGTATCCTCCTCAACACCTCAACTTGTCTTATTTTCGCGCAGAATATAAAAATTTATAATGGGTCACATTACTTAATGTGTTACATCATTGGTTGGACCCAATTCCGCATCTGTAGAACTAAAAATCTCGGAGTTTTATGTTGCTTGGAGTGTCTTCACCCCAGAAAACGGTTCCATTTCGATTTTTTTGGAACTGCCCTTTTTTTAGATCTAATTTCTTGGCATTCTGGCAAGTTCGGAATCTTACATTCTCGTCTGTACTACAAATAAACGGCAACGGAACCATCCTGCCAGTCGCATCCCCGTCTTTAACATGTCTACATCAGGGAAATCCGGGTTGAAGTCTTTCTCTAAGTCTTCGTTGAAAATTCGACAGGGTTTGTGCTCATGTTCATCCGTAGCAGTTTATAAAAGCTGTATTGGCAAGATCTGGAAAAAGCTACCCCTTTTTCCCCACTTGATTTCAATAAATCAGTTGGTCTTTTTAAAGAGAACACTTTCACAGACGTTGCACAAACCGAAAGCACCGACGCACAGAGAATATTTGCTTTAAACTTCGATATGGTATTGAAGAAGTTTAATTACCATCAGGGATGGGAAATAAAGAGAACACTCTGTATAAGTACGTGGACTCGCGCTGATGCAGCGTAGTAACCATGACTACTCTGGCTAGTTTTAGTTCACTTGCCATAGAGATACGATTAACTCCGTTTCTAGTACAGTTCCTTTAAAGCAGTTCCTAAAATACAGCCTATTCCCCTAAAGGTCTTGAAGATTCCGAAGTGACCAAGGCCAAATCTCCCGTACGCGAGCCTTTTCACCGGGCATTCGATAGTCGTGATTGCGCTACAAGTACAGACTTTCATGGGCAACAAAGTCCACGAACCGCCAATCCGGCTGAGGACCACGCATTTACTCTCTACACTGGTTAGTCTGATCAAATAGCAGCACAATCAACAATTAGTGGAACTGGTGCAGTGAAACACCGTATTATTTGTTTTATTTGTAGTTTACTCCCCTTAATATACGTAATATACCATTTAAAGCCAAATATGAGTTGCAAAATTATGATAGGTTTTATTTTACGATGCATCTAGTTCCTTTAATGTTGATCTCTCTATCTTATTGGGCAGTTTTCAATCATAAATCCATTTTTTGTAACACTGCTGAATAACTCCCATCGTCTCCAAAAAGTACCTCTTAAAAATAACGCAATTTGATGTTCTGGGGATATGTACAGCGTACCATTTTTCTTTTTCGGGATGAACTCATGGTTTGCTGGATTTTCTAGCTTTTTTGCCTTCTTTGTTTACTAGGTAAGTTGTATCAGTCCAGGTATTAGCATTCTCAAAGTACAACTTTAAATATGCATTTAGAGCCGGGTGCGTGACACATTTTAGGACTTTTACTACAAAGGTGTCATTACTTTAAGTGAGCCGAATGGGGAACCCTTAGATTGGCTTATTCAACGTTAGATACTCACTACCTCCGCCTCGATACTTTCAGCTTATCGTTGCAACTAAAAGTTTTTTATTTTTCACGATAATTGATTACATTTGATGAAAAAACCGTCCTCGTTTTTAATACCCTATGCCTGAAAATATTTGATCATGATATATATCGCTAGATGCTTGTCTTATTCACCTGTTCTTGGTATTGTGTTAAATAAAAACTAAAGCAGTTAAACTTGAGACTTCTCGAATCTATTCTGGCTCATTTCTTTCAGCTTGTCACTGCAGCCCCTGTGGTACACCTTCCCCGCCTACCCCAAGCCATCCGGAAGGCCGCTCGTGTGCGTGTGTCCATCTCTGCGGCTCAAATACATTCTGCTCCTGCCATGGGTTCCAGTTGTCATGTGCGTGTAATTATAACATCGGTGAAGCTTATAATGCCAACAGGGTGCATCCTTTTTTATCTCACAATTGTTGTCATCATAATCATCACCACCGGGGCCACCACAATTGGCATCAACCATCGTGCCCCTCCTGCCCTCCCCATACTGCGTTATGTCAGGAAGGCGTCAATCCACACTACAACAACAGTTATTTCAGTGCTCGTGATGGCTTTTCAGTGGCTACGAATCAGCCTCAGCCTTCTAACACAAAAGGTAAGTTGTTTTTTTTTCTGGGGAGGGGGAATAAAAAAGCAGTGATTTTTATTTTGTTTAAAAAATTGGCTTTTGTAAGATTGTACGGAAGTTGGACCACAATATCCTGGCAACAAATAGGGCCATTAGGTGGTGCGAAATGAGTACGGGTAACAAAGGAGATGAAGTGAATATGAGCCAAGGTTTGCTCAATCATTCAATTTGCAAAGAAGCGTTTAATGGTCGAATTAAATTCCCAAGATTTTGCGGGATTGAAGGGGTGGTATTGAATTGACCCCATTAGTCAGTTGATTCTAAAAATGTGGAAAATTTTTGAATTTTCTAAATTTTTCAACATTAATATGCATGCCAATATGAAATAAGTAGTATCGCACAATCGCATGGAGCTTCTTTTTTAAAAATAAGCTAAATCTTCTCTAGGTAAGACTACAAGGTTGGTACGAGTGCCTTGACAATTTTAAAGGTCGTATGAAATTGAAAGGGTCATGTTAAATTTAATGAAATATTAGGGTTATTGTTAAAAAAGTTTACGAGGAAATTGCCGAAAACATTGCACGAAAAATTGGGTCATAGTTTTTCTCGAGAAAACAAAATTAGTGAGTGACATAAAGTGAGCACAGAGAGGACATTGATAGGTGTGTCAGTGGAGAGGCAGTGAAGAGTTTCGCCCTTGCAAAAAGAGCGAAAAGAATTTTTCAAAATTAAAAATGTTCTTACAGCAAGGCATTTCAACAAGTGATGAACCATGCATTTAGATTTTTTTGGAAGGGAAATAGTGCCAATTGATTTTATCGGAACTGAAAAGTAGTATTTAACCAAAGCGAAAAATTAATGAATGCAAAAGATGTATGAAATTTTTACAAAAGTGGGTCATGTTGTACTGGCCAAGGGTAAACAGTGGGAATAAGTTTGGAGATGGATACAAACGTAGCAAACATTCACCTGGTCTATTTCACTAATTACCCAAATTTCTGCTTAACAATGGGACAAGAATTTGATTGACATGTCATGAAATGCTAAGAGTAATGTTGGCAGCGATTGTTTCTCATGAAACAACTTGCAATTTCTGGAAGGGGAGTCTTTCTCACAACAACTTGTTTATAAGTAAAGGGGTGTGGATTTGTGCCTTTGCTGTGGGAATAGTTCCGTAGGCTACCTTGAATTCAGTTAGAAATTAGGCTAATTTTGATGGCTTTTTTGCTGAAAAATTAGTTCAAAATATGCCCAAAATTGTTTGCAGAAGTGGATTATAATATTTAGCTGGAATTTGAGTTATCAGTTGTTGCATTTGCCAATGATACAGAACGAACTGTGACATGGTGGATTTTTTCTTCAACCGGAGAATGTTTTTTCCAGCTTGTAATCTGCAGTAAGTATGCAATTTTTGTAGGCGAAAAAAAAATTAGCTGCGATATTTTGTGCAAAATAAGAGATTTCGATTGACAGAAAATCAATATGTGGAATCCACTGTTAGGGGCGTCAATCTGTTTCTCCTGAAATTATTCAGAAAGAAAAAGGGTGTAAAAATGATGGATAATAAAAGGAAATACGCGGTAAGTGCGAGGTTATGCAAAAAAAGACGATTTACAATTTGTTCTCTGGGAAAATTGGAGGATTGGGTGGAACAAAAGGAATGTAGGTAAAACGTTCATGGTCATTCTATAGCATGGCATAAATCACGTCAGACATGGATTTTGATAAGGTAGCAATATTAGTTCGTAAAAATAGGGGGAAAAAGGCACTTTCTCAGGGGGGCCTGCGCCGTCAGTTCAAATTAATTACAGGTGATGAAGAAGGGATGTATGTTTTGCTGCGGAAATTAAGCAGAACTTGCAATACTCTGTCACATTCAATTAGATATCAAGACATTAGCGCATTTTATCCAAAATATGATGCCAAAAGAGTGAAATATTTTTTTTTTCAAAATTTAAAATTCTGTTTTATAAAACACCAGAATCCCTTTTTTACCCTATGTGAATCCATTCTTTGGCACATTTTTTTTTCGTTATTGACAGACCTTAGACCTGCGCTTTTAATACAGGAGTTGTTATAAAGGGTAATTGAGTGGGTAATATGGGTGCCGTGAGGTTTCAGGTGGACCTTTACCGAAAAATGAATATAAAGACGAGAGGGCGTTGTTCGGGACTTTAGGTCACGATAACCCACAAGATTTGCGAATTGGCAAAATGTAGAATTCTGATTTACTGTTGCTTATGGAGTTCACTTTTACTGCTTGATTGTGTAAGTGTTCTGAAAAAAGAATGGGTTCGTTTTATTTAACAAGAAATTGTCGGAATCTTGCCTTTGGTTCCAAATTCCAACCATTGCAGTAGACGATTCTTAAATTTAGCATCAAAAGTAATTATTATTCCCCAATAATTTTATATTACTACAAGATAGCATAGAATGAGCTAGTAATTTTATACAAATTTTATTTTTAATATTATCTTCCAGAACCTCCACCTACTTCACTCCAAACAAAGGTAATGTCCATGCCAGGTGCACAAGAGCATCCTGTTCGGGAATCTACCGCTCCATTTCATTGTTCCCAAAGTGGTACTTGGGAAAAATTTCCTCCCTCAGCCTCTACAACTTTATCCAGCGCCGCCAATCCCATTCACAGTATCAACAATAGTGTTTTCAAAGCCAGTAAGGGTGTGTTTCCTTTTCTCCTTTATATTGGTGTCTACAAATAGTGCTTGAAAACGTCGCTTGGCACTAAAGCCACGCGCTTTGGTGCTATCGTCAAGTAAGAACATCATCAGCAGTTGCTCAGTCAGCTATTTGGAGCGTTTTTGTTCATTTATTATTTTTTTCTGTAGCAGTGAACGCAATGGATTCACGGAATATGGGTGGTTTTAGTATGGCTAAGCCAGGCATGATGCCGGGATAAATTTGAGATTTAATGCATCCTCATTATTGTCGCTTGTAAATGTCAGTTCGCTTGTATGAATTGAGGGATGCTGCGATTTCATCAGTCGCAAAGCCAAAAATTGTGTTAAATTGAGGTGCAGTTTCCAAGCTGGATGGGATTCGAATGAAGAGCCATCTTATGAAAGAAATAAGTTCACGAATCTCTTTCATTGAAAGGTTGACCTTTTTTTGAAATACGATTTCCGATGAAGTTACGGAAAGGCGCTCAAACTTTCCTTCTTCGTTCATTTTTCCATCCCCCACCTCAATACGACAGCTGGTCGTGAATAGGTGGAATAAAGTGAAGGCGACATACACTTACTGCAATACTGCCTTAATTCTGATAAGGTGGTGAATGGCTACTGCATCTTGTGAGGGAAGTGAGAGTTTTGTGGTGAGATGTAGTTGAATATTTTGGAAAATCCAACGACGAGAGGCCTGCTAAAACTACATGGACTCCTAAAAATTGCCTACTTCGTGACTGGCTAATAGCGAACCGCGATCTAAATTGAAGGAGTCAAAATCGTCTAGAAGGAGGAAGTGTTGAGTGATGAGGGTAAATCAAACGGACGGTAGGGGTGGAATCAGGGAGAAAAATACAAGAGATACTTTTTATCATTTAATACATCTTAATGCATTCCCCTTCTAGAATAATATTCCTATAAAAGTGAGATAATTTACAGCCTAAAGTGCAAGCAATTTGGCGGAGAAAAAAAACGCATTGAGGTGCAAAATGGAAAAGAAATATCATCTCATGCTTTCTCCTTCTGATTTTTATTCAACTACAATACATTTTCCCATCATTTTGTATTTCTTAGTGAAGATTGATGCACTCTTTGGCTTTTCTTATGGGTGCCATTCATTGTTAATGTGGCGGCTGAAGCGCTACGCTGGCAGTGCTTTCCTCCTTCTGGCTGTTATGTGTCCTATTTCTTTTTTGTACCTTAAGTAATCTACTTTATGAACCTTTAGATCCATCTGAAATATATTTATAGCACAAAAGAAAATACATGAATTGCGCACGAGTTTTATAACTAGCCCTGTTTGTAAACTGCAGCCCAGCTAAGTGAGGATTCTTTTGTACCTAAAACTATTCAAAGAAGGTACGTCGTTTGACTTAGCTTTTTATTTCCCTTGAGGAAAGAGAACCTGTTATTTGTTCTGATGCATTTTTAAACATCTTCTAGCCCTTAGTGCATTCGGTACGCTCTCTTTTTCTTTCATTGAGCGTGCTTTGTGTAATGAGCATCGTGTCAAATGCCCAGCCGACTGCTGAATGTTTGATTTAAAGTGGGCAATGCTGTACAGTACCTGGGGTGTGTGTACGACAGGCAAGCAGAAGTGCTACGCAAATTTTTAGAAGGAATCGACCAATGAATTTTACAAGTTTTACAAGGAGCGCTACCGCCACCATACGACAAGTGGTGGAAGGAGACAGAGTTGGGCGATCTTTTGCACAGTAGCATCCACCAGACATGATTCGCACACGCCTCTCATCAAGATAAGCTGTCAGGCGACAGTGATCGTGGGTGTGTTTACTCAATGGCGTTCGACAGGATGATCAAGTTTCTGTTGAATTAGAAAACAAGACCCGAACCTGTTGCTATCTAGTTGTATTTTACGGGAGACTTCGAGCACAGCAAAAACTAAACATCTGGATGGTCTAAACACTTCAAGGACAGTCGGCAGTCGAACCAATAACGATGTCCGTTGACCACTACAGTACAGTAGTCATTCATAAATGTGACAACTGATTTAGTCGGGATGTGAAACACCTACGTAGGCCTATGTGTCTGATCTACGCATGACCATTCCATGGATGTGATGAAACTGAAGGAGTCTGGAATCATTTTCCCGTTGAGGGCGAACACGCCATCACTTGTGACACGCGAAGCATGAGAGATGGCGAAGAAGTGGGTGGGTACTTCGGAGTTGTTAGCGTTTGCGAACAGCAAGCAGAATGTTGTAGATTGTTTCAGGTGCGGTGTATAAATGTGGCTGAAGTTGGTCATATGGAAGGAAGCGCAACCGCAATTTACACTCTCTTTATAAATTCAAAAGTTGTCGTTCAATTTGACTACTTTTCGTACAAATTTTAAGCTATCCATTAAAAATGCAGGCATTTCATCCAAGGCAAGAGAGGGAGAGGAGTGTCAAAAAATTTCACTCTTTATCAACACTTAATCCACCTTTTTGCTGTCAAAAGGGTGACACAAATCCTGCATCGTACAGATTGATGTGATACAGCTTTAGCGTGGACTTCATAATTTATTCATCCGGTTCCCACTGAAATCGTAGACTAACGCAGACCAATGAACATATTTTGGTTTATATGGGCAAAAATAAACGCGATTACCAAAAGGACTAGATATAAAGTTAGTACAAATTTTTGAGATAAACCAGCTTATTAATAAGATGACTTAAACAGGCTAAGTATTCTGTTTACGCACAAATTAAAAAGAAGTTCAAGAGTTGAACAACCGAATTATTTTTTTGTCAGCAAAAGAAAGATTTTATCTTAATTGTGATTATCAGGTGGACAGGAGCGCTGGCCCGTGTTTTGGCGGGTGTAGATCAGAGATCCACCCTATCGCCGTCAAGACCGTGATAGCTATACATTAGTGAGGGGTTTGGCTTTTTACCAATCTCCGCATGTACTCACCTGAAGTAGATGTTTAAATACGAACTGGAGAATTGCCTTGGTAACAATGTATAGTTTTTTCCAAAAAAAGCATTCCCATGTCTTAAGAGGAGAAAAGACCACACAGACTATAGTTGCAGTTCTGTCCAATTTAGGTCAGAAACGAAGCTGACACTCACTTTTGGTGAGAAAGAGGAAACATTATGCACAGCAGAATAATTAGTAAAATTATTCTCTCCGAGGATCTTTTGCTTGCTCCTGTTGCAAATGCATTTGTCCTGATATGTAATGGCTTCCTTGGTTAGTCAAAAATATCTTGAATTCCTTTTTTCTGGGTTCTTTTTTGTATCACGACGCAGATAAATAACCGGAATGTCACATATATGTGACGATGGAAGCAAGCATGTTAGTAAGAAATTCCTGTAGTAAAAAAAGGAAGAAAAGTCCCCAACTGATAAATTTTATGCAAAATTATTAATGGGAATCATCCATAACTCCCGGAAAAGTGTTCCTTTCCCAAAAGCATATTTAATTTTCTTTGAGAACCGTCCTCAACCCGAAAGTTGAGGAAAATTTATTCTCCTTATCCACCTACTTTAAATATACTGCATCATAAAATATTATGTTTTTAACCATTACTATGAAGCTCAATTAGGCAATTCCTTTTAAATCAGTGGTGATAAGATGTGTCCCAGGGATGTGGACACCCTTTAGTTTGTATCCTTTTTCAGGAGAAGGCGGTGACTTGAGGTGTGGAAATGACAACATTTGTGGTGAATTCACTCAGCTCTTCCTGCCTTAAACTTTCAAGGAGAAGAGGGAACAAGTCAGACAGAACTAGACATATAAGTTGAAAAAAAAATTAGCAGTTTCAATGCCAGTTGTGATCATATTGCCAACTTGAATCCACACAAATTGCTAACTGATCGGTGAGGTAGATAAGTCTCGCCAACCAACTGTATACTTAAGGTACCTGCCTGCGAAAACTGGAATTTGCCTATTTTTAACACTAATATGCCCTTTTGAATTACAACAAAAGCCTGATGTAATTGAATTAACCTTCAGTCAAAAGGTCAGGTCATACTGAAACCATGGAAGCAATTAATTTTGTTGTTTTCATTCACTGAAAGGTCATTACTAATTTGCTCTATTGCAATAACACAGGATTTGTAACTCATTTATAACACTTTAGACGAAATATTTAGATGTTTACAAATAGTAGGGGACTGCACGAATGGTGTTCAAGTAAAAGGGAGAATTCCGAGTTGACCATTTCAGAACGAAAAGGAAAAATTCCAGGCAGTGTAAACTCCTTTGTTGTTCAATGTGGTTATCTTCAGCCCCAAAGCAATTGCACCGTACAAAAACTTGTCACTACACCTAAAACAATCCACAGCATCTTGCTCATCGCGGTGTATGCTGAAGCTAACACCTACTCGAGATTGACCACCCTCGGCCTCACCCTGTCTTGTGTCTCGTTTGTCGTGTGTGGTATTTCGCATGCGGTTTCGTGTTCACTCTTGCCAAAAAGTAACTCTAGTCTCCTTCACTTTTGTTACATTCATGAAATAGTTGAGTCGATCTGAATAACTGCTGTACCTTAGCGGTGAACTAATGTCGTCAGTGGTTCGACTGCCGCCTGCGTTTGAGACGTTCACCCCAATCAAATGTCCCGTTTTAGCTAACCTTTTGGGCGTACCGTCAATACAACAACTGAGGTTGTGAAGTAAACTTGATAACTCTATTGAATATGAACACACTTATTGTCTTGATGAGGAGCTTCTGCACAGGACTAGGCTGCGACATATCAACCACCTTTTGGGTTGCATCCCTTCTCAAACCTGTGCACTTAATAACGTCTTGTGTGAAATTTAGTCATTTCTCATACTATAGTTTGATTCAGAAGCCAAACTTACCCCCACCATTCCGTGTTCCCTTTTTTTTCTTCACATATAATTAAATCATGTAAATGTGAAAATTGTTTACTATTCCTTCCTTTAACTGCGACTCATTTCTAAATGTGAACGAGGACCATTCAAACGCTACATATGCCTGTCTTGAGAATTAAATTGCTTCTGAACATTTTTGTTAAAGCTGTTTTCCTTGTAATTTTTTTTATTTAAAACTTTGATCTGTATATTCTTTCCGTAGGCAAAATAGTTTAGCTACCCTTTACCTATATAAGAAATTTCCGTCTCTAGGCACGAAGACAAATTCAGTCCCAGTTACCTCCGTTTCAGTCTTCGTTTTATTTCCCAACTGTCTATGATTATGTAATGTGGAATAAACAAGGAGACTACGGAAGACGAGGATAAGGGTGAGGAACTGTCCCCCCCTCCTCTCTTCCGTTTTAAAATACGGTGTAAGGTCTCCTCACGGATCAGTCTTATGGCGATAAGGAGCTGTTCTTAAATCCTACGACTTCCCCTTCTCCAGTCGATGCAGACCCGTGTTTTAAGTGTCATCAAGAGCAGCGGTGCATCTATCTTCGAGTAATTCATGGCCGCAACAACATTGCTTTACTTAAATTGTTTTTGAGTAGCATATTACGGTAGCGCATTCAACACCTACAAATATTATGCCAGAAATAACCGGTGGGTGAAGCTACTAGATCAGAGCAAATTTGGTCCATAAAGCAGGCAGGCTCAGATCACAGCAGTCTAGAATTGACAGAAAATCGTAGAGCACAATAGATAGTACGGGGATACATTGACGCCCACACACATGCCTACAAAAGTTGTAAAGTGTAACTGCATTGAGCTATACTGAGAATCGCCCGAACTTTTTTTGGTCGGCAGAAACCGAAATAGCCTCAAATAGAAGAATCCCTATTCTTTTTTGCAATTTTTGAACTATTTCTTAGTTGAGGAAAAACAAAATAATTATGTTTTTCCCCCACAAAGGAATTGTCTATTTTAAGAATATATACATTTTGAGAAGCAGTGGTCTTTATACCCGACAAAGTGATGCCCTCATTATGCGTCTCTTATTTGTTGTAGACAGGAATAGCATATTTGATTTCCATAAGACCTGGATTCTAAGACTATTTGAACTTCCATTAAGATTTCATTTAAAAACGAGAGGTTCATTCTTTAAATTTATTTTCCCGGTTGTAACTGTAGCAAGATTATACAAATTGGTATTAATAGACAAATCTTTGATCCTTAGGTGGCTGTTCCTGGTTCGAGTTTGCTCCTCGAAGCCATCTAAAGGGTGCCGGCGCCACTAACACAAAGCGCCAATCGCTTGAACGGGAGCAAATTTCCAAATCCACTCACTGGCGTCCCGCCTTTCGAGACTACAGCCATGATGCTACTGTTAGGTTCAACTTCTCACGTACCAATCCACCCTATGCTTGCGATCGAGAGGAGGACTTCAACCAACGTGAGTTCCCTTCTCCCTCTCCTTCCCCTTATATCCCAAGTGATTGTTCTCTAATTTATGCTTTGCCTCCCCTTTTATGTTTTAACACCACATTGCATGTGGCTGGTGTTCCCCCCACACTTTTTCAGTTGTAATTATCGTCATAAATCTTTCCGGGAAGATGCATTATACCGATGGCTATTACATCCCCATTTTGGCTCACATTGTCGGTAAAAATCTCCGTCACTGCGTGCTACAAAAATAGGGCACCGACAGGAAGTCGAGAAAGGAAGTTTTAAAAATGCTAACCTATGGTTGAAAGCTACTTACTAAGATCGGTGTTTGTAGCTACGGTAGCGTAGTAGCCGAATGGGTTATTACTGAGGCAGTAATAACGTAGGGATACTTATGGCTGTGGCTTTGGCATTGGCATGCTTCACTATTGTCACGCGGCTACTTTATCGACTAGATTTGGGGATATGGATGGTTTGCAAGTCAAACTGGTCAAAAGAGGAGGTGCCATTGCGGTGGTAATGCATATAGCAGCAAGTGTTTCATTACATACTAATATAGTCGGCCGGCACGTTGCAGTCCAGTTTTGTTTATGACGCTCCTCACCAAGACATGATGCCAGACAACAGCGAGTGTGTTCACTTGATAGCGCGTCTCAGAATGGCAAAAGTTTTGCTGAAACGGAAAGCGAGACTCGAACCTATCGGTTGTTATTTTTAATGGCAGGCTCTAGAGTACAGCTGAGATAAGCTGTCTGGATGGTGTGAACGTTTTAAAGACGGTCGGTAGTCGAAGCAATAGCGATGTCGTTTATGCGCAGATTTTATTTTGCTGAAGTTGTGAAGCATCTGCTTAGTTTTACGTGTCTGATCAACACAAAACCATTCCATGGATATGACGAAAGTGAAGGCAAGTGGGGCCTTTTTTTTCGATAAGGGTGAACACAACACACGAGCCAGTGTGGAAAGGTGAGCATGGAATTGGGCCGTGTCAGATAGCGTCAATCCAGGGTGTGGTGGCAAATCTTTGTGCTGGCGCAGTTACTTTGTGTATAGTGGTTAGGCCTGGAAGATGTGGCTGTAGGTGGCCACACGGAAGAAAAAAATGCACTTTTGCATTCTCTGGAATTCGTTGATTTCCTATGTGATCCTTTATGCTCAATGCATATTGTCAGAAGGTATTTAATAAAGCCGAAGTCGGAAGATTTGTTTGTAAACCTTCATCTTTATCCTTTTTTTTGATTAATTTTTTTTCTCGCTGACATTGACTCGTGCATCCATCAGGCTTTTAGACTGTTAAGATTTTATGTTTTTCGCTCTGGCGGCTTTACTTAGGACTGCCCAGTTGTGAATTACTAATGTCTATGTGGAGATGGTAGTGTTTTAGCAAGGCGTGGTATCAAACCTAGCCATTCATTCATTGACGCTTTCCTACTGTTTTAATTTCAAACAATCAAATTTGGTTACTTTAGGGATTTAGAGGCAGTACCCAAGAAAGAAGTTATGGCTGTGTTATTAAAGAAATTAACAAGTAATTATCTCTTTCAGGTCACGCTTTTGGTGTTGCTAACCTGTGTATCATTTTTATTAGAATGCTACGTCACATTGCGGCCATTGAAATCCTCGAACTTGACGAATTAACAGGCCATTTCATTTTGTTCAGAAAAGCTAAAATCCCCCTTTTTAGGCAATGGATCAAACGTGGATCCGCAAAGCTTGCAGGAGGCGTTCCGACTTCGAATGAAGGCTTTTATAGCTCGCTCTGAGGCGCGTCAACGCTTCATCAGGTTGAATGCTCTAGAACGGCGGCTACGAGCCAAGCATGGCGCAATGCGGTCAATGAACAACTGCAACACCGTCTTGCCTGATAAAGAAATGGGGTTGAGGGCAGGCACTTCTTGCTTGAGGCTACCGAACTATCTTCGTTGCCCTCGATTCTTGAGTACAATCGGGCAAACTGCCTATAGTAAGTGAAAAACTTGTCATAGAACTTGAATGCCAGATTTAGCTTTTATCCCATGACTGCACGATTTGATGTGCCATAATATCGCTTGAATTGGGCGAAAAACAGGATTTTTATTATTACGGTAATCGCTACTGGAGGAGAATGAAGTTTTATTAAGCCTCATGGTATAAACTTTCACCTTGGCATTTTAATAACCTTCTGATTTCATGGTACTTATATACTACTAAAATAAGTAGCATATGGACTTGTTTAGCAAAGCGCAAGAATTTCGATTATCTGCTTATTAAACTGGCTCTTTAAGTGGTCTCTATCTTGTAGCAATGCTTTGTTGCGTTTTAAATCCTATGCCAATGGTCTCAATCTAATTAGAACAACATAAACGCAGAAAACATGAAATTTTGCTCTTGCAAAGAAAACACTTATTTTACAAATTGAGATGCATTTTCCACTTTTTAAATATGTCGGTTGCAGTAACACTTCCATACTACTGAAATGGCTAGTTATGGCATTCCAAAGTCGAACACATTAGGTGATTTGACTGATCACTTGCACTGTTAATCATTTTTGTGCCTCTTTAGGAAATTGATATTTTATGGTGCTGGAAATATTGCCTATTGATGGAATTATGCCTGTATTATTGAAACCTAGCGATGTTTATGGCATTTTTGAGACGTACGAATCCATTGATGGATTAAATTAAGAGTTCCTTCTGGAAGCTCATTTTCATTCTTACAAAAAGTTTGCTGCGCTTTTGATAAATCTTAAGCACCGTAGCACCTTTATACTACCAAAATAAGAGGCATCTATGCTATTTTGTTAAACCCTAAGTGGGTTTTAGACGTCATTGTGAGATTCGATAGACTACGTACTTCATTAATGTCCTTCTTGGTGCTGAAAATTTTCAGTTTGCAGCATTTACTAAGTTTATATCACTGAAATAAGTGATGTTAATGTCCTTGCATTAAATACGAATTTGGGTCATTGGAAAACGTTGATTAACCATTCGCTTCTTCAGCAACAATTTCACTTTGATTCGCGGGAGAGGCTAGCAAGTAAACGTCGCCCCGTTTGGTCACGTCGCGTAGCCCCATGCAAGAGGGAGTGATTTATGCCGGGACGCGAATGTCATCACGTAGTATGTACACGCCTCGACGAGTATGAAGTCAAAATAACTTCCTAATTTCACTCCTTCCGGCTTGTGGGATGGCGGTGGGACTGCAGTTTAAACACATGCTTTAGCTGCTTCCTCACCGAAACCATATAGCTTCATTTGTTGCCTTAATAATCCCTTAATCCAAACTCGCCTCATTTAATCCATTGGATGATGAAAATAGCAGGGAGGGTCATAGAATGCTCGAGTCAAACACTGATTGAACGAATTCTTTCCAATTTTTGAAGAGGCACATTTAGTGAATTAGCTTTCTTTCTCTCAATTGGCATTGTGGTTTTTGTTCCAAAATCCTCCTTCTCCTCCTTTTTTGATTAGCTAATGTTTCTGAGCAAACACGCCGCTTATTTGCTTGTTCACCCATTGTTGTGATTTAGGGAGGAATTTCAGAGACAATTTTACCTTAGTCTAATGAACATTCACTGAATTGTGATTAAAATTTGAGTTGGTCAAAAAGTAGCGGGAACAGATGATTGGAGTACGAAAATGCACACCTTTACAGGGTTTGTCAGTTTATTACATTTTCGAGTTAACGCCTAGGTTATGATACTTTATTTTCCTCTGAGACTGGTAGTGAATACTGGCGATAGAACAGTTCCGAATTTTCTAATGTGGTTTGTAAAACAACTGAAAGTACCATTCTGGTAGTCTTTGTTCCTCAATAGTAGATAAGAGTGAATTCCTGATTGTTAAGGCATGTTAACTGCTAAATTCCCCACAATGATTCACATGTAGCGGCCTAGGCGATTTAAATGAGGAGAAATAGAAAAGCAGTTGGATTTTTGCTATTCCCTTCTGAGTAGCCTTCTCGATCCATATCTGTGTAATAAGCTCCAAGAATTAGATGTAGACTGCAGTCCAAATCTTTGTGAGGAAAAATCTTCACAAATTCCTTTGGAGATAATCTGGGCTTACTGAGCGATCTTGACATATCCAACACAATCCAATTTTCAATAGTACATTGTCTTTTCATTCCACAAGGGAAGCATTTTTAGCTGTCTTCTTAGTGAATATAAAAGATCTGATAATATTCAAAGGAGGATTCAATCTCAAAGCCGCATTATTTTTGTTCCTTTTGTGACGGCAACCCCATATTTATGACAGATTTTAAAATACTTGCATTAAATTTGAGAGGAGCAGCTCAGATTTTAGTAAAGCTAGGACTGACCACTATTTTACGGGAAAGTGTTTTGCATATAGTTAACGCATCCGGTTTCCTTTTGTTTGCTGAAATTATGAACCGGTTGCTTTCCGGTCGTTGCATACTACCAAATGAAAATTTATCATAAATCACAACTTCTTAATAAACTATAAACCAAAATTGTGCTTTTTGTAAATGAGGTTTTATTGGACTTTTTCTGAGAATTTTTGGTCTTGGTGATGCCCTGATATTTCAAAACCGCTGTATAATGCATGAAGTCTTTTTTAAACATGTATATATAGAACTGCAGTACCAGGATGTCGGTTGCCACGAAACACTCATTGGATGTAAGGCAGCCCTGCTTTCTTTTTGTTGAAGTCATGCCAAAAAGTCCACAGTTATTTCCAACGAGACTACATACCTAACTAACAGTCATCTTTTTAAGATACCACTACCATAGCCCTCCATTTCGAGCCTCTCCAACTTAATTTTGTGATGTATTAGCTATCCAGTCACTACGTCAGAAGCGAAAGGGAGGGGCTGACGAGCAATGAACAAAAAAAAACGCATAACAGAGTTTTTTTTGTGCTGCGGACGAACGCACATACGTGCACATAAACAAAACTGTAGGACAGAAATATCCGTCTTCAAACGGCCAAATACGTTGTCTATTGGCAGTAGAGGTGGGAACAATGTCCGTAGAGGCCATTGGCACTACAGCTCTGATCAAAGGGCATTGAGAGGTGTTCCGAAGGGCATATTTGATGAATGAAATTGTCATGCTCTTTGCTACGATGGCTGAAGTAAAATTTTTTTTATCCGCGTTAACAGCAACGGAATAGGCATGAAAATGTTAACTCTTCGACACACTGAAATAATTTCTAAAACTTTTTACCATGCTGATTTTTTTTCTGTATATCTTCATTAAATACAACTATATATACTGGATGTGTGGAACTTCCGCATAATCACGTAGGTTTACATTTGCAGATAATATCCTTGTGACAATTTGACAGATCTGATTAAATTCATCATTATTCATATTGTCTCGTAATTTTGTCTTTTTGGATAGCAAAAGCATAAATCCATGAAGCTTTGTGCTCTAATAATGCTATTTTAAAGTTAATCCCTCTAAAAGCACCACTTTCTTAATGCAGTTTGACAGTTTTGAGTGACGCTAATATGCAATATCACCCCACCCGTAGCTGAGGATGCAAAGGGAAGACGACATCTCCCTTTATTTCTGGCACTCGTGAGGCATGGGCCATCAGTGTGCTGGGGAAATTGATACCAATGAAAGTGCCCCAACGCGTTTTACTCACATCTTGTCTCTTAATAAACAAAAATTCTCTTTTACTTATAAGTCACATACACATCATTGAAAATGTGACAGGAAATTGACAGCTCGAGTTCTCCACGGTGACATGTCTTTCCGCTAGGTTTCCTATATTTTAGTCGGAAAAAACGTCCTGTAGAGCTTTTTAATGCTTGCATTACTCTTGACAAGGTTATAGAAGTTTGAAGTTTTCAAAAAACCTTATTACTATCAACACGCAGAAGGGCTGGAAGACTGGTGACATATGTGTCATCGTTGTGTTTCAAGTGTCAATTTCCCGATGGCCTG